ATGGGCGAAGATACCCGTAGATCGCTGCAAGACACTTGTGTCAAGCTATGCTTCACGTTTTTAAAAGCTGTTATAACTGTAAAAGGATGCTGTACTAAGTACTAAGATTGAATGTCACTTGGGGGTTGAATAAAACTGATAATGCTGTGAGCACAGAGAAAGACATTTGTGGTTATTTCATTATAACTGTTATGTTATATTTGTCTGACCTACAAGTGCCTCTTTAATGTAAATGTAAGCAAGATGACTGAATGATCAAAAGCAATGTCAAACTGGCCCAAAACACTCAATTTCAGTGGGGGTTGAATAATTTTGGCCACAACTGTAGTACAGGACACAGGTTGCTCTTCTCTTTTGTCTTGATTACTCCTTATTGCTTCCTTTAAAAACAAAACGGGAGCCTCCTGGAGTGGGCAGGGCTATATGGGTGTGCTGTAACACGGGTGCTCGACCTGCTACCCGTGGAGCCCACTGATGTGGCCCTCGATCTCAAACCAGGGAATCACTTGCCGAGGGTCGGCAACCCATTGATCGTCGTCTGAGCTTGCCAACCCGCTTATTCACAAATAATAATCTGTATTTGCAGCCGCTAGAAAGTGCTAGTATCACCACCTCAGCTAATCTCAGATCATCAAGCATTTGATTCTCATAAGGAGAGCTCAACCTAGATCCCTCACATGCATAGTTTACAGTAGGGTTTGTGCTCCTATGAGAATCTAATGCTGATCTTTCAGGAGGTGGAGTTCAGACAGTAATGCTCCCTTGCTCGCCTGCCACTAACCTCTTACTGTGCGGCCTGGTTCCTAACAAACCACAGACTGGTACTGGTCCAGGGCTGGGGGTTGGGGACCTCTGTGCTATCCCATCTAACAGTACCTGTGCATAGATGTTGTAATCTCTTTTCTGCACCCTTTCTCCTTTTACAGCTCACTAGCAATTTCTACATAGCAACTATGTAAAAATCTTTTTCTTCAGAGGTTTTTCTGCATTCAGTGGCACCTCCCATTCATCAATCACTGATTCTGATGAAATTATGGTTTATATTTCTATTGGCTGACAGCTTACTTTGCTATGAAAATAAACTGTCAGCAGAAAAAGGAGGGATTATGTAATTTTATCCAAGCAGGCTTTGCTACACTTGCCTTCTCTGTTGTGACATTTTCCCTTCAAAGTCAATTTTTTACAGCTGCTATCAACAACTATCATCTTCATAGTTCAGTAAAGGACTTACAAAAATCTTCATGGACAGATCGTGTTAGATGGGATAACCAAAAGAATAGCAAGGCTCACATTAACCACCTCAATACCAATGTACATATATATACAGACTTTGTATTGTGGTGATTATATATCGGGATCATAGTTGAGGCTACAACCTTGATCCCCATACCATATTATTTTAAAGCCAGCAAGTTCTCTATAATGTAAACGTGATCTGAGCAGCTGTACAGCCACTGGATCACTTTTACAGGTGGCGGAACATATCGGACGGTAGAGCCTGGTAATTATTTTATTTTTTATTACAGGTGCTTAAATAGTGCTGTCAATTTACGCAGCACTTTACATATATATTGTGCATTCACTTCAGTCCCTAACCCTCAACGGGCGTACAATCTAAGGTCCCTAACTTACATTTATACATGCACATACTAGGGCCAATTTAGACAGGAGCCAATTAACCTAACAGCATGTCTTTTGGAGCTTGGGGGAGGAAACCGGAATACCCGGAGGAAACCCACGCAAGCACAGGGAGAATATGCAAACTCCAGACAGGTGGTGCCTTGGTTGGGATTCAAAGCAACAACTCTAGCACTGCCAGGTGGAAGTGCTAACCATTTAGCCACTGTGCTGCGACGCATTCATGTTCCATTCACTGAGAAGAGTGGCAGGAATGGAAGTTCCTCTTCTGTAATGTCAGAAACCCGGAAGACATGACAATTCTATCACTTCTGCTTTCAGTTTGTTTGTTGACAAGTCGTTACAGATCAGCATCTGAATAAACTGATCTTGGTTTGACCAGATGCTTTAAAGGGGGAGGCCAGATCTCTCCATAAAGAGGTGCTATCCCAGCCTATACTATCACAAGAGATGTTGTTTTCATCCCTTTTGATAGCAATTAATTTGATCAATTTAAATAAAATATAATAAAAAAAAATTTAAAGCACCCCCGTGCTCCAAAGCAAATGCGAAAGCACGCGTAGGTCCCACACGCATTTACAAACATCAGAGCGAGAGCAATAATTCTAGTGCCAGACTGCCTGTTTAACTCTGAAAACCTTTACAGGTTACCAGTTTAACCACCTCCTGCCCGCCATGTAGTCCAATGAGGGGCGCAAGGTGGTTCTCTTGTTCTGATAATACGTCATATGACGTCTTGCCATTCTCACCGCGCATGCGCGGCTCAGGGAGCGCGCGGCGATCGGCGGTGCTCTGTGTCCCTCGGACACAGGGGATCACCGATCACGGAAAGAGCCGAAGATGTTGGCTCGGTCGTGATCAGCTGTGTCCAATCACAACTGATCACATGTAAACAGGGAAATGCCGGTTATTGGCATTTCTCTCCTCTCGAGCTGTCACGCTGACAGCTCGTGAGGAGAGGAGAGCTGGTAATCGGCTTTCCGCGGAGGGGACATGTACATTGATCATCAGGGCACTGATGATCAGTGTAGCCCCAGAAGTGCCACCTGTCAGAGTCCATCAGTGCCAGCTGAATAGTGCCACAATGCCACATATCAGTGCATACCAGTGCACATCAATGCCACAAATCAGTGCCCATCTGAGCTGCCCTTCAGTGTCACCCATCAGTGCCACCTATCAATGCCAATCGGTGCTGCCAATCAGTGCCACCTGTCAGTGTGCATCATTGCCGCCTATCAGTTCCAGTCAGTGCTGCCTTTCAGTGCTCATCAGTGATGCCTGTCAATGCCATCATCAGTGCCACCTATCAGTGTCCATCAGTGCATCTTATCAGTGCCCATCACTACAGCCTCATTAGCGTACATCAGTGAAGGAGAAAAAAATCACTTATTTACAAAATTTTTATAAAAACTAAGAAAAACTTTTTTTTTTTCAAAATTTTCAGTGGTTTTTGGTTTGTTTAAGAAAAAATAAAAAAACAGAGGTGATTAAATACCACCAAAATAAAGCTCTGTCACAAAAAAATGATAAAAATTTCATATGGGTACAGTGTTGCATGACCGCGCAATTGTCATTCAAAGTGTGATAGCGCTGAGAGCTGGAAATTGGCCTGGGCAGGAAGGGGGTATAAGTGCCCTGTAGGCTAGTGGTTAAAGTGTTGCTTATTGATAATGTAATGTACTGTGGTTTGTCACCATTCCACCAGCATCCATAGTTTAAAGTATGATATGTCTATTTACTCAGCATATCACTATCTTTTTTTATATTTTGCCAAAAATTGGGTATTCAATTGTGTTCGTGTTCGCTAAAATTAATTAACTGCTGCACAAATATCGTGTGACATCCATAATTTTTAATCTCTAGGGCTACTGCTTAAAAAAAAGAAAAACATTATTAATGTGACCCCTCAGCTTTGCTCTGCATTAACCTATTGCCAACCATATCATGCATATATATTGTGGCAAAGAAGACAGGACCCTCTCATATACCCAGTGAAGTGAATACGCTCAGATGATACACAGAGATGAAAGAAATCCTCCTACATATGTTTTACTTGTTGATCTGTAGTCTTCTCTTTTCTACATCCCTTCAAAAGTGCAAAATTGTGATAAAATACTTGTCTGTCAGTATCACAGAGGAGGGGGCGGAGAGCTGCAGTTAGAGCTCTTGTACAGTGTGTGAGAGTTGATTGGAGGAAAGGGACCCCCCCCCCTTTACACAGCACAGAGGAATGAAGGAACTCGCAGAGCTGTGTTCTAAATAGACAAGCTGTATGCTGAGCTCCCTCCCCTGTCACTAATATATCTCCTGTGTCCAGAAAACTTCTCAGAAGTGACTTTTAGAGCTTTGGAGATAGACAAGTAAACACTACAGATATATATACTTTGTTCAGATTTCATGACTAAGGTTTTACGACCACTTTAATACCCATGCACTGCACATATGCTTCCATCGTGGCTGAGGTTTCTGGGCTGGCGGGACATGCTTCCGATCATGTGACCACTGACCAGCCAATCGCAGGTCATGTGATCCAGAAGTCTGTTTTGCTACTTTCCCTTTGTTAACCAATGAAACCACCAAACTACTTATTCACTGCCTTGTTCTCTCTCGACTAATGCAACTCCCTTATCATAGGCCTACCTCTACACAGACTATCCCCCTTTATTCTATCATGAATGCTGTTGGACCAGTCTACCTTACCTGTGTCTTCCACCCCTCTTTGCCAGGCCCTCCACTGGCTTCTGACTGCCTGACAAATGCAATTTAAAATACTAACAACATGTAAAGCCATTCACAGTTCTGCCACAAGTTACTTCAATCTTGTCTCAATAGGTCTCCCAAACCATCCTCTCCGCTCCTCGCAAGACCTCCCTGCTCTATAGCTCCCTTGTTGTCTCCTCCCATGTTCATCTCCAGAACTTCTGTCTACCTCAGTCTTTCCAGCTATCTCCTACTCTGTCCATCTTTAGGCCATCTTTGAAAAGTCATCTCTTCAGGGATGCCTATTCCACTTAACTAAATTTTAAGTCTTCCAACAGATCATCCCTCACAGTTATTACTTTTTGTACAACTTACCCCACCCTAATGGATTGTAAGATCCATGAGCAGGACCCTCTTGTATTGTAACTGTGTGTGTTATATTGTAAAACGCTGTGCAAACTGATATAATTCCTGTATAATAAATGGTAATATAATATTGAAAATCTCTTGATTATAGGCCTAAATAGTGTAGATGCTAAAACTAACTATAACCATAAACTCATGTACAAAAAACAATTTATCCTTATTTCCATGAATTGTAATAAACTGCAAGCCCCCACTGAGAGGTGTCATGACATTATTGTTCACTATTCCTCTTTCAGCGATCGAGGGGAAGAAGAAGGAAAAAGAAAAGCTAATGGACAGGAGAAACCAAGACACAAAAGCCATAAAGAACAAGAATCTCGCAAACGGAAACGGTCAAAGAAGGGTCATAAGAAGAAGCAGAAGAAGCGTTCACACAAAAAACTGAAGAAAAGAAAGAAAGAGCAGGTGGAAAGTACGGAGTCTTCAAGTGAAAGCTCAGATGAATCGGAAGAAAAGCGGAAGAAGTCCAAGCGGAAGAAGACAACCCGGAATAAGAGGGCAAAGAAACGGCCATCATCCTCTGGCCAAGACAGTGACTCATCAAGTGATGATATGAGCAGTACAGAGGATCCTAAAATAGAGGACCGCAAAAAAAGATGGACTGAAAAATCTAGCAAGAAACATCACAGTAGTCATAGCAGATCAAAGTCCAAAAAAGACTCCGAAACAGAAACCAGGAAAAGTAGAAGAACCAACTGGAAAGTGGCCAAAGATGAAAGTTCAGAGAGCTCCGATGAGGACTAAATGTCTGCATATCCCTGTATTTCTGATTTTATCATCCTGAAATCACACATAAAAAGTTTGTATTTTTTCTTTTCAAACATTTCAAATGTGCAATAATATGTTTAAAAAAATATAGTCCTATGGCAACAATGCTTGTCATGTTTTTGTCCTTTTAAATTTGAGGAATACTAAAACCCAACTTAACTGGAGGAAATTAATGTATTTGATGGGGGCAAAAGTATATGGAATTGTGAGAAGAGAACTGTTTGGTATATTGCTGTGCTACTACAGTCCCAGTATAGTTTCAGTTGGGTCAGTTCACAAAGATGCATGTTATTTTAACCACTTCTTTATTTTTCGGTGTATTATTTTCTTTTGAAGTGTTTAGTTTACAGACATAAATATCCCATAGGTATTGAATGAAATGGATTTTCTAACTATCAAGACTCTGTCTAATAAATCTGTTTATTTTAATAGTACAGTATAGTACAGAGCTTGTATTCCCAGACCATGGGTTATGCAGGTGACCTTCAGGTGATTGGACACTGGCAAAACGTGCTAAGGCCATCCCTAATGTAGGCTCATATAACCCCACCCATATATGTTTACCGCTGCTCAAGGTAGAGAGACTTCCAGTCTCCAAACACAACTCCTCCTGGGTAGGTGCTTGCCCAACTCATGTGCTGCATAGATAAGAACAAAGGAAGTCCGATCAGCTGCACTCCAAACAATCCACTTTATTGAACCAGGAAAAAAACAATACAGACAGTGGAAATACAGTGGGGGACTGGCAGATAAATGCGCTTATTCATTACCATTGCAGCTGCTGATCAGGATGTCATATGATGACCACCCAAACGGCACGTGTCCAGCCCGGCCATCAATTGAATATAGGTTCGGGTGGGAACAGGTTAAAGCAGGTGTATGCATGTTTAGTTTTTTTTAAGCCACATTTTTAGATTGTCTTATTTATCATGAACTCACAACATTAATTTTCTCTTAACATAGCTTACAGTTAAGTACACAGTACACAGGGAAATGCTCTGTGTGAATGGCACTAATTAAAATCTTTGCATGCATTTATATGCATTTTGAAATATTATCTCAGTACATATGTAACCTGGACTGTAGCTGAGAACTGAGAACTGCTGCAAAACATTCTCCTTCATTACTGCTGTAATATCCTCCTGCAGTGTCAATAGGGTTAAACTGAATATTCATTAATGCAGAAGTGCAGCTGCCTTCTTTAAGGAGACCACTATGAAATATTCATCTATGAAGTGTCTCCAGTGCAGGGGGCAGCCATCTTGGCTTTGTCTGATTCGATACTAGAGGACGGTGACTGGCTGATGAAACAAAGCAAATAAAGGAGGGTCTGCAGGCTGCTGAGGGGAAGAGAGAGTACACTTTTAAAGGGATGGGGTGAGAGGAAAGAGACTGGACTGCTGGCTGAATGGAACCCTGCCATAACTGAGCCCAATCGAGCAAGACCTTAGAGATACTGTTTATCGCACTGGACTTTGAATAAAATACGGAAAGTTTCTCCCTGGGAAGGTCTGAAATGTGATTTAGATGCCTGGTGAGATCAGACTGTACTACAGAGAACTCCCACCACTTGTAAAGAAGGAAAAGGACTGTCTCAGCTTGATTGAAAGAGAGAAATCACACCAACACTTATTTCTGTCTGAGGCCTTGAAGAGAATCAGCGCATGTGGAGATCCAGAAGAGGGTTACCTGGGTCTGGCAAGAGACTAACATCGCACAAGTTAATCTATTATCTGTTTGGAGCTGTTGTGCTTTCTCTAAGGGCCCCAATATTGCCGCTCAACTTTTTTTCTTCCTTTTTATTTCCCCCCATCATTCACTAGCCAGTGGGATAAAACTGGGACTTTTATTGCAAGTTAGGACTGTCTTCATATACTCTTGCTAGGTAAAAGCAATTCTGTTATCTAGGTAAAATTAATGCTGTTAATTACTGATAGAATACTGGAGGTGCCTAACCATATCTCTGAGTCCGTGGAGTATCATCTATGGGTGCAATGGGTTGTAGTGTGCATGCCCTCACAGATTGAACAGCACACAGTGTGGAGAAACGGCACTCAATTCTGTGTCTCTGTTGCAGCTGTGATTGTCACTTGTAGCTGCAGCAAAGATCTATGCAGTGGGGGAGAAGATCTGTTGCTGATCTAATTTCCTGTGTTTTGAATACAGGATAAGTCTCATTAACAGCTCTGTAGTTATTAATTCTGTGATGTTAAGTGGGTATTTTCCAAACCTCCTGTCAGTCTGTTCAGCCTTCCCCTTCCCCACCAGTCAAAGACCTGCTCTTCTACGTCTGCAGTATAGTAATCATACAGTGGTGATGGATGTTCTTCACATGTAAACATGGCAGCATCGGTTCTCCTGATTTCCCTACCTGGTTCATTGACCACTGCCTCCACATTACAGCTCATTGAAAACACAGATGTGCAGAGCTTCCCTGACAGCCTGAGATTTGCAGCAGACGTGGAGTAGATGTCATGAATTGTAAGCAGAGAGTTCTGTGCATGTGCAGGCTGGTGCAGTGCTGGTCACCAAGGCTAGGAGCCTCTAAAAGCTGTAAAAACCCATTATTTCAGCAAGCTGCAAATGCCAGGGCGCGTGGGCGTCTGAGTCCCCTATGTCAGAGCTTGTCCTCCTCATTTTCTTTCCCAATTTGACTTCAAACAGCAGCACTGCAAATAGAAGAGGCCAGTGTGCCTAAGTGTGGAATGGTGGATCCTGTTTTTTATAGGCTAGTGATGTATGTTTAAGGGCTTTTTCACACTTGACTTCTGTCCAAACACCCCTATAGCGTTTAGGCATTTTACAAGCTCTAAAAACTGTCCCCAAATGCCCTATGTGTGGTTTTGAGCCATTGTATTGGCGATTTACAAGCATTAAAACCGCACCACAAATGCCTATAATGAACTTAATGGTATAAACACCTCGCAAAGGCCTGCCAGGTGTTTGAGAAGCGTTACCATAGACTTGAATGGGAGGCGTTGAAAGGTTTCAACTCCTCCTGACTCCACATGAGGCGTTAATTTTGACGCGATGCTAATGCTTCAGTGTGAACAGCACTGTGTGCTGCCATGTGTTCCATTTTCATAGGCGTTTGAGGAGCGTTAAAAAAGCTCCTCAAAAGCAGGCTTTCAACGCTAGTGTGAACTGAGCCTTACTGTCAGGATTATGTAAAGCAGTATTAAACCCAAAGAGTGCACCTCTAAGTCCAGCAATAAAATAGATTAAAAAGAATAAATGCCCATTTACATATAGTAGGATATATGTAATCATAAGCGGTATATCAGGCCAACATCTGTGGTCATAGGTAACAGAGAAATGGATCCAGATGGAATTCACAAAGCTGTAGGTAAGGGATGAAACCTAGGCAGCACAAGTAATGGAGCCGAACTGTCAGAGATCTGACAGCGTAGGAACCTCTGTAGTGACGTCAGACACTGGGGGTGTGATAGGGGCCGTGGCTCTGTGTTTCGAGGCGGTAATGCCTCTTTCTCAATCATGCCTACCAGCACATCCCCCTTCTTCCTTTATGCAAAACGAAAAAGGACAGTCCTTTGAAAACAACACAGCCGAGATACTTGAGACTGGCAACTGCAAGCAGCTGTGAGAATAAACACCCTCAATTCCTTGTCCCCAGGTGGTCTTAATGAGGATATACAGTGAGGAACAGAAGTATTTGAACACCCTGCGATTTTGCAAGTTCTCCCACTTAGAAATCATGGAAGGGTCTGAAATTCACATTGTAGGTGCATTCCCACTCTGAGAGACAGAATTTAAAAAACAAATTCAGGAAATCACATTGTATGATTTTTAACAAATTTATTTGTCTTGCACTGCTGAACATAAGTATTTGAACACCTGTGCAAATCAGTGTTAATATTTGGTACAGAAGCCTTTGTTTGCAATTACAGAGGTCAAACATTTCCTGTAGTTCTTGACCAGGTTTGCACACACTGCAACAGGGATTTTGGCCCACTCCTCCACACAGATCTCCTCTAGATCTGTCAGGTTTCGGGGCTGTCTCTGAGCAACACGGAGTTTCATCTCCCTCCAAAGATGTTCTATTGGATTTAGGTCTGGAGACTGGCTAGGCCTCTCCAGAACCTTGATATGCTTCTTATGGAGCCACTCCTTGGTTATCCTGGCTGTGTGCTTCGGGTCGTTGTCATGTTGGAAGACCCAGCCACGACCCATCTTCAATGCTCTGACTGAGGGAAAGAGGTTGTTGTTCAAAATCTCACAATAGATGGCCCCATTCATCCTCTCCTTAATACAGTGTAGTCATCCTGTCCCCTTCGCAGAAAAGCACCCCCAAAGCATGATGTTACCACCCCCATTCTTCACAGTAGGGATGGTGTTCTTGGGATGCAACTCATCCTTCTTTTTCCTCCAAACACGACGAGTGAAGTTTAGACCAAAAAGTTCTACTTTGGTCTCATCTGACCACATGACTTTCTCCCATCCCTCCTCTGGATCATCCAGATGGTCATTGGCAAACTTCAGACGGGCCTGGACATGTGATGATTTGAGCAGGGGAACCTTCCGTGCAATGCATGATTTGAAACCATGACGGCGTAGTGTTCTACCGACAGTGACCTTTGAAATTGTGGTCTCCGCTCTCTTCATGTCATTGATCAGCTCCTCCCTTGTAGTTCTGGGCTGATTCCTCACCTTTCTTATCAGTGATACCCCACGAGGTGAGATCTTGCATGGAGCCCCAGTCCGAGGGAGACTGACAGTCGTCTTTAGCCTCTTCCATTTTCTAACAATTGCTCCAACAGTGGATCTATTTTCACCAAGCTGCTTGGCAATTTCCCCGTAGCCCTTTCCAGCCTTGT